TTAAAAAAATAAAATAAAATAAACAGGATACAATTTTAAAAGAAAAACAAGCGTTCTGTTTCAGGTTCTTAGGTGAAATCCAAGTGGAGATGTTTTAAAAATAGCTGTTTCTATATGTTGGGAGTTGGGAGAACAGTAGCAGAAAAGATATATATTTAAGAATCATCAATATGCAGATGATTTTAAACTATTTGACTAGATGATAGCCATCAACAGGGCCTGGTAATCAGAAAAGAGGTGAAGGGGCAAATGAGTGTTACTTTGAAGAAATAAATAACAATGGTAAATGCAAGTAAAAATATAATTCATGATATACAATGACACTCTAGGTTCAGAAATATTATTATTTCCAGGGTCATTTTACCTTTCTCATGTAAATCACAAAGACTCCATCTCATTCCAAAACTGTAAAATACTTGTCAGTTTTATTTTCATGTCACTTTTAAACCTTGTCTTACAGAAAGGAATGTTCTAATATTTATATAAGAAAACTCAATGAACTTCTTCTCAAGAGGGAGCTCTGGCGACAAAGCCTGTAGGAAGGTGCGGCTGCTAATCCAAAGGTCAAGCCTGTGTGGAAGCTCAAATCTACTAGTGGCTCCACAGGAGAAAGAGGACCAATCTCCTCCCACACAATTTACAGTCTCAGAAAACCTGCTGGACGGTGAGGCAGCTATGAGTTGGTCCCAACTCAAAGGCAAGGAGTCTGAGGTTTTGAGTTTTGCCTGTCAGATGAAAGATCATCCCTCAGTAACTTAAGATAACTTTTGAGAAGTGGTAGGTAGACAGACATGGCATTTCTAGGTTTTTATTACTTGGCATGTGTACACAATAATAGTGATTATATTTAAATTTTAAAGAGAATTAAGATTTGGTTAAAGTTTTTTCTAAAAATCAACTTCACTAGAGAAAGCTGTAAAAAATAAAAACTAAGAAAACATTATAGAATTTTTACTTGTGAATACTCATGCTGAAAGATTTTATTTCGGAACTTTACACACTCCACCACTTCCTAAAGCGTATCTCTTTAAAACTGCATTTCCTATTGTTAAACTCTGGCAAAATAATTATAACAAAGAAACAATTTCATACTGCACAATGCTTGATTTTAGATGCGTCCTAGGTGTATAAAGGGAACAATACATCCTAACAGTGGGAATTAATCCATGAGTCACAGGTGTATGACATAAAGTGGTTAAAAAAGTTTAACATACTCAGTACCAATACCTCTTTTACTTTCCCTCATATGGAAATTGTTTTCACAACAATAATGCTGCTAAAAGGGAAAATATTTAGCAATTTCTGAATAGCATAGAGAAAACCAGCAAGCAAAAGCATTTCATACCTGCTTTATGGCGGTTACTGTTATCACAAAGAATAATGGAAGTCCACTGGTAATTGGACTGGTAGGTGTATCAATCATAAGCTATATAAAAGAAAGAATACAGAGTATTATACGTTTATACCAAACTATTAATACCTAAAATCTCATAAATACTGTGAATTTTAAGAATACACAAAATGTACCCTGTAGCCCATCATAAAACTCAGTAGGGGAGAGAGAATATGCTATTAGGTTTAATAGTTTAATTCATAACTTTGTTGCCTAGTATATATGTACGGTTGGTAGATTTCTAAATCTATTGCTTGCCTAAATATACTGGGATTGGTAGATTCAGCCATCTACTTTCTTAATGGATAGGTTGTCACAGTTATGTGCTGTCAGGTCAATTATGACTCATAGTGATTCTATGCATAATAGCTCTAAATCCTGTCCAACATTTCTGACACCTACCTCCATTATACCTGTACTTGGACCAAGAGGCAGTAGTCAGAACAGAGCAGGGTTACACTGCATGGTTCAAAATTGGGAAGGGTGTACGCCAGGGATGCATCCTGTCTCCATACCTTTTCAACATGTATGCAGAGCAGATTATCCGAGAGGCTGGGCTCTATGAGGAGAATTGTGGCATCAGGATTGGTGGAAGATCTATTAACAATCTGCGTTATGCAGATGACACAACCCTGCTTGCTGAAACTGAGGAGGACCTCATGCACTTGCTGCGAAGGGTCAAGGACTGCAGCCTTCAGAATGGACTGAGGCTCAATGTCAAGAAGACAAAGATTCTCACCACTGGACCAACTGGCGGCATCAGGATGGATGGCAAAGAGATTGAGAGTGTTCACAGCTTCAGTTTGCTCGGCTCCAGGGTCAACACTCTTGGCACCAGCAGCCAGGAAATCAAAAAGCGTATCGCGATGGGAAAGTCTGCTGTTAGGGACCTCTCTAAAGGACTCAGGAGCAACACTGTCTCTCTGGAGACTAAGGTGCACCTGATACAGGCCATGGTATTTGCAATCGCTTGTTATGCATCAGAGAGTTGGACAATGACTAGGGAGGACAGAAGGAGAGTGGATGCTTTTGAGCTGTGGTGCTGGAGAAGGGTACTGAATGTACCCTGGACTGCCAGGAAAACAAACAGATTCATCTTGGAGAGGATTAAACCAAGCTACTCCTTGGAGGCAAGGATTCTGGGGCTTTGTCTGACATACTTTGGACATGTTGCCAGGAGGGACGGGTCCTTGGAGAGGGACATCATGCTTGGGAGGGTGGAGGGACAACGCAGGAGGGGAAGACCCTCTATGAGATGGATTGATTCGGTAACTGGGGTAATCGGGATGGGTGTGTCAGAGGCGGTGCGGTTGGCGCAGGATAGAGCAGGGTTTAGGGCTGTTGTGCATAGGGTCGCTATGAGTCGGAAACGACTCGACGGCACATAACAACAACCACCTCCATTATGCCAATTACTGTGTCAATCCATCTCCTCCAGGGTCTTCCTCTCTTGTACTGTTCCTCCATTCTTCCAAGCATGATGTCCTTCTCCAAAAACTGATCCCTCTTGGCAACATACTTAGTGCATGTGAGACTGAGCTTCACCCTCTCCAGGACAAATGTGGTTGTTCTCATGGCAGTCCATGGTACATTTAATACTCTTCTTCAGTACCACAACTCAAAGGTATCCTTAGTCATTGTTCAGCTTTCTGATGTGTAACAAGCAATTGCTAAGACCATGGCCTGAATCAGGCACATCTTAATCTCTAGACTGACATTATTACTCTCTAGTACTCTGGAGAGGTACCCCTGATGCCAGGTTTTCCTAATGCAGTTTGTCTTTCAATTTCCTGATTGCTGGTATCAAGTGTGTTGATTGTGGAGTCAAGCAAGCTGAAATTGTTAAGAATCTCAATCTCTTCTCCATCTATCATGATGCTGCCAAATGGCCGAGTGCTAAGAATCTTTGTCTTCTTCATGTTGTGTTTCAATCCATATTGGAGAATGCAGTTCTTGACCTTCTGCAGCAAATACTTCAAGTCCTCCTCAGTTTCGGAAAGCAAAGTTGTGTCATCTGCATAATGCAAACTGTTGATGATTCTTCCTCCAATTCTGATGCCACAATCCTCCTCATAAAGACCAGCCTCTTGAATGATCTGTTTTGCATATAGATTAAAAACATATCTCCGAGACAGGACACATCCTGGATACACCCCTTTCCTAATTTTGCTTTACTTTTTTTTTATTTTTTTATTTTATTATTTGAGTGTACCGTCAAATCAGATCTGACTGGTACAGGAGGGGTTTGTCCCTCCTTCCCCGGCAGAGCATCTGGTGGATTTGAACCGTGCGCCTCTGGGATTGCAGTGCAGCTTCTTGCCACTAGGCCACCAGAGCTTCCCTCCCCTTTCCTAATTTTGAAACATGCAGTGTTTTCTTGCTCTGTTCTGATAACTGCTTCCTGACCAGGTAGAGTTTTCACAATTATATGTTCTGGGATTCCCATTCTTCTCTAGGTTTGCCATAATTTGTTGTGATCTACAGTCAAATGGCTTTGCACAGTCAATGAAAATAGATATTCCTCTGGTACGCTCTGCTTTTAGCCAAGATCTGACATTGGCTATGATGGCCCTAGTGCTATGACTCTTCTAAATCCAGCTTGTATTTCTGATAGCTTTCTGTTGATGGACTCTGTTGATGTTTGTTTTTGGATAATCTTTAGCAGGATTTTGCTTGCATGTGGTAGTTGTGATATTATTTGATAATTTCTGTATTCTGTCAGATCTCCATTCTTTCAGATGGTGATAAATACAGATTTCTTCCAGTCAATTTGCCAGGTAGCTGTCCTCCAGATATCTTCGCACAACTTTGTGAGCCATGTCAGGGCAGGATCTGTTTGCTGTATTATGTCAACTGGTATTTCATTAGTTCCTGGAACCTTGTTATCTGACAATTCCTTCAGAGCAGCTTGAACTTCTTTCTTCATCATCATTGCTGCTTAATCATATGTTGTTCCATTAAATTATTTTGTGTCAGTCAAATATTTTTGATAGAGTGATTCTGTGTACTCCTTCCATCTTCTTTTGATGATCCCTGGATCATTCAATATTTTGCCCATAATATCCTTAACTATTGTAACTCAAGGCTTGAATTTGTTTTTCAGTTCCTTCAGCTTGAGAAATGACACGAGAGTACATCCCTTATGATTTTCTGACTCAAGCTCTTCGCACATTTCATTGTAATACTTCGCTCTGTCTTACTGAGCTGACCTTTGAAATATTCTGTTCAGCTTCTTCTTTCCTTACATCTTCCCTTTGCTTTGGCTTCTCGGCATTCTAGTGTAATATTCATAATCTCTTCTAACATCCAACTCAGTCTTTTCTTCCTCATTTGTCTTTGTAACAATCTTTTGCATTCTTTATGGATGATGTTTGTGGGGGTTTTTTTTGTTTATTAATTAATTAATTAATTAATTTCTTTTTCATTTCAATGAACATCTACAGAGATTTTGGAATTCTGTTCATTCATTGTGGTACCCTTCCCTCCCACCCCCACCTCCCCCTGTTTTTGTTTTGTGTTTTTTTTTTTTTTTTTTATATCTTCCCACAGCTCGTCTGGTCTTCATGCATTAATATTCAAGGCCCTAACTTGTCCAGAAGATGGTTTTTAAATTCAGGTAGGATAGACTAAAGGTCAAATTTTGGTTCTTGTGGATTTGTTTTCATTTTCTTTGGCTTCAACTTGAACTTGCAGATAAATAGTTGATGGTCTATTCCACAATCAGCACATGGCCTAGTTTTCACAGCTGATATTGAACTTCTCCAGTGATTTTTTTCCCACAGACTTGAGGTTTTTTCATTTGCCTATGAGTCGTCTACGACTCGACGGCATTAAACAACAACAACAAACATGCGTCGAACTACAATTGCTAAAATCTTGTTCTCATTTCTTTGCACATCTAGATAAACACCAAAGAATCTGGAAACAATTTGTACCCTGGGATTAAGAATTAGGAATGAGATTAAGGAAAGAGCTTTGTTTATATCTTTACATAGTCAAGAGAGGCAGAGTGGTACAGTGAGGAAAGTGATGATGCAACTACAAACTAAATCAAACCACCAAGCCTTCAAACTGTTGGAGAAGTAAAGACATGTTTGCATTAATTATGTTTGGTTAGTTAGAATATTTTATCGATTTACTTATGCTTTTACTCTGTATAAGATAGTTACATTTGTTCTATTATAGACATAGAGCTATCCTGATCTTAGCTAGTGATGTCATAAATATATGCATGTTATATGGACTATATGTATAAGGAGAGTGCAAATTTTTCACTTTTCAAAAAACTAAACTGCTATTCTAATGATGGAAAGTCAGAAGTGCTTTCTCTATTCATTAAGGAAAGTTTTCGATGTGGTGTGGTGTTTCAGGGTTTTTTAAAAGTAATCTTACGTCTTTAAAATAAGGATCTTTTTAAAGTAATCTTAGACCTTTAAAATAACTAACAAGGTTCCCCTCAGCCCCTTTTAATATGTTAGGTCCTCTTGAGATAGAAGTTTAGAATGTTTATAATTAATGACATACTAAAAGAGGCTTCCAAGCCTTTGCCAATGTTATCAGCATTTTAAAAACAAAATAACAATCTCAACTCTTAAATCTTGACTCTACTCAAGTTCCAGAGGCTTGTTCTCTTGATATGTTAATTTGAAAATTACAAGACAAATGTCTAATATTCTACAAAAGTCATCGAATTTATTCTGCTGTCAATGCTACAAATGTTCCTGGCTACTAGCCATTAAAAAAAAGCACAATCTGAAAATTAAGAAATTGCCAAAATAGTCTTTAATGAACATAAATCTATATAATAAGAAAATTGTCTGTTAAGGAGTCTGAACTCAGAAAGATGAATTAATAGAATTAAAAGTCAAAGGTAAATTTACATTGCAAAATGATACAATAGGCTGAAATATGCCAAACCATAGGTATTATACATTAAAAGTAAAAATATTTATATTCTGAGAAAAAAAAATATCTATTAGGTATTCTAACAGGTTCCTGACTTCCATTTCTTTTGATGCTTCCTGGATCATTCAATATTCTGCCTATAGAATCCATAAGTACTGCAACTTGAGGCTTGAATTTGTTCTTCAGTTCCTTCAGCTTAAGAAATGCCAAGCGAGTTTGTCCCTTTCAGATTTACTGACTGTAGTTCTTTGCATATTTCATTATAATAGATGTGCACATAGCTCTGCATGCCTACAGATAAGGAACTGCATGGCTAGCCTGTAAGCATGAGGCTTGAATCGTCTACTAACTCTGTGGGAGAAAAAGGGGCAACCTCCTTCTGTGCAAATAAATGCCCCTGAAAATCTGCTGGAGGGTCAACTATGCGCTGATGCTAACTCAATGGTACAAAACAACAATTATATAATGTTTTAGAACACAATGCCTACTATACTGACTGCCAGGAGTCATAAAGCAGGTAGAAGAAACTCTGAGTAAAGGCACCTGGACAGACCTATCACTGACTATTAATTATAGAAATTTCATTTTGTATTAATCCAGTTTGAGAAATAATTTAGAGATGTTTAGAGACATTGTTCTAATCTACTAATCTAGTACATGATAAAGCTTACCTGAACCAAAAATATAATAAGAAAATAAAAGTTTGCCACTCTTCTGAATTGTTCAAATAAATTTTTTGGAACAAAATTCCACACAGTATACTAAAAAAAAGAAGGAAAAAGGAAGAAAGGTCAATAAATAAATATTTAAATAAAAGATATACTATGCAGATGTAATAACAACAAAAGTAAAATCAGATTTATTAAATCCTTAGACAAATTTCATGTAATTCTCAGTATTATAGAAATCATGGTTTCTAGACTCTCAGGACTTATACTCTCTGCCTTTTCTACTATTTTCTATTTTATTTTTAACTTTCTTTTTTTACTTTTCTACTTTGACTCTAAACTTCTCATTTTTAAAACAGTTTGTGTATCTCTGAGACTTAGTTTATTATTTAAAAATTCTACCTTTTTGGTTTCGTTTATAATAGCTCCAACTCTATGCTAAGTAGTAGTGTAAGTTGTGATGATTGATAGGTAATTAAAACAATATCCCTACTCACAAGGATATAAGGGTAAAAGAAAATGCTACAATGAGCATTTATAAAAAGGAATGACAGCACCAGAAAAAGTAAGTATGTGAACATATACAAAACACTACATAAATTTCTTTAATATCTTTAAAAGATACAACTATTTAAGCAAATGCTACTTTTTTAGTAATAGGTCTATAACAAATATCACTCTAAAAGCATTATGAAACACTAAAAGCATTATGTTTAGGATACAAAATGAAAACGTGACACAACAAGTTCCAGATTTAATCTGAAGTCATTAAATATAAACTCTAAGGCGGCTTAGTCTTCGGGAGCTGTGCTGCTAACCAGCAGCTCCTCAGGAGAAGAGGGTCAGTCTCCTCTCATGCAATTTACAGCTTGGGAAATCCACTGGAGGGTCAGCTCTGACTCAGCACAGATTCTATCAATGGCTTCTTTTTTCTCCTTGAGAAAGATAATAACAGAGGTTTGGAAGGTAAATTATAAGCCCTAGAGCAGCAACTAAAAAATAATGCAAATAGATACAGCAAATACAGCAATTAAAATGGAATACTAAAAACATCTGTGTAACAGAAAAAAAAGTGGGAAGTAAAAGGGGAATAACAACAAGAGACAAAAACTGAAAGAGCAGATGTAACTGTATCAAGAATTATGTTAAATATAAGTCACAAAGGCAGAAATAGTGTGTGGGGGGGGAACCCACCAAGAACCAACGAGATATACTCTACAAAAATGAAATAGATTAAAAGACTGGAAAAAAATACCATACAAATAGAATCTAGAGGAAGGCATGTGTGGCTCTATTAATATTATATAAAAAACTTTTATACTAAGAAGAATTAAAAGATACAATAAAATTATAAAATGATACACTGATATAAAATGGTAGAATGCATCTAGAATTACAGTATATACACAAAAACGTGTGTGTGTGTGAGAGAGAGAGATAACAGTGTTCAAATTATATAAAGGATAAAATTAGACAAGTCCACAATTAGAAAAAGAACCAACTTAACTCACATTAAGGGGGGAAAGGAAATAATAGGAGTGAAAATAGAAAAACAGTAATCGAGGAAAAAGAAATATTTTTGTTGATAAATTGCTAGCCTGACTATTAGGAAAAGAGAAAGCATATAATTTATTAGTATAATAAATGAAAAGCAATATATAAATATGATAATACATCATAAATACCTAATTTGGGGGTTTATACCGAAAAATAAAAAAACTGGTTTAACATGGCCTTAAAAAAAAAAGACAAGTATCAGTGAAATAACAGAATAAAAAAGTAACAACATCACCTCAACAGACAGTGAAAATACACATTTGACAAAATATCACATCTATTCCTAACAAAAAATGTTTAACAAATTAAGAAAAGAAGAGAATTTCCCTAACCTGAGAAAAAGTATGTATACAGTCAAAGCAAAGGGAAGAAATCAGGAAGTTAAGGAACTGAACAGAAGATTTCAAATGGGCTGCTCAGTAAGACAAGCAAGTATTATAGCAAAATGTGCCAAGTGCTAGAGTCAGAATCAAAGGGATGAACTTGCTCGGCATTTCTTAAACTAAAGAAATGGAAGCACAAATTCAAGCCCTGAGTTGCAATACAAAGATGCAAAGGGCAGAATATAGAATGATACAGGAAGCATCAAAAGAAGACAGAAAGAGTACATAGAGTCACACTGTACCAAAAAGATTTGATTGACATGGAAGAATTTCATGAAACAGCATATAACCAAAAGGCACACTGGTGATGAAGGAGGAAGTTCAAACTGCTCTGAAGGTATTGGCAAAAAAAAAAGTCCTAGGAATTAATGGAATACCAAGTGACATATTTCAAGAAGTAGATGCTGTCCTGGACGTGCTCACCAAGTTGTGCCAAGAAATCTGGAGGGCAACCACCTGGCCAGCTGACTGGAAGAGATCCAAATTTATTCCCATTCCAAAAAAGGGAGATCCAACAGAGGGTGGAAATTATTGAACAATATCACTAAAATCGCACACAAGCAAAATCTTCCTGAAGATTATCCAAAAACAACTGGAACAGTACATAAACAGAGAAGTACAGTACAGTACAGGTTTAGAAGAGGCTGTGACACTAGTGACATCATTGCCAAGATCAGATGGAACGTGGCTGAAAGCAGAGAATAGTAGAAGAATGTCTTTTGTGTCATTGACCATGCAAAGGCATTTGACTGTGTGGATCACAACAAATTGTAACTAACCTTGAGAGGAATGGGAATCCCAGAACATATAATTGTTTTCATGGGAAACCTATACCTGGATCAGGAAGCAGTCGTCAGAATAGAACAAAAAAACACTGCATGGTTCAAAATCAGGTAAGGAGTATATCAACAACGCATCCTGTCTCCATACATTTTCAATCTATATGCAGAACAAATCATTCGGAGGCTGGTCTTTATGAGGAGGAATGTGACATCAGAATTAGAGGAAGACTCATCAACTACTTGTGTTATGCAGATGACACAACCCTGCATGCTGAAGCTGAGAAGGACTTAAAGCATCTTCTGCAGAAAGTCAAGGACTGCAGTCTTCAACATGGATTGAAGCTCAAGATCAAGAAAACAAAGCTTCTCACCGCTGGGCCAACTGGCAGCACCACAACAGATAGAGAAGAGATTGAGATTGTCAACAATTTCAGCTTGCTTGGGTCCCCAATCATGCTCTTGGAATCAGCAGCCAGGAAATCAAAAGATGAAATGGTTTGGAAAAGTCTGCTTTGAGACCTCTCCAGAATGCTAAAGTGCAAAGATGTCAGTGTAGCAATTAAGGTGCGTTTGATCCAGGCCATGGTCTTTGCTATTACTTGCTATGCATCAGGAAGCTGGACAGTGACTAAGGATGACAAAAGAAAAACGTATGCCTTTGAGTTGTGGTGCTGGAAAAGAGTACTGAACTTCTCAGGGACTGCCAAGAGAACTAAACAGGTCTGTTCTGGAGAGGGTGAAACCAAGTTGCTCTCAACAGGCAAGGGCTTTGATGCTCTGTTTCATATACTTTGGGCATATTGTGAGGAGGGACCGGTCCTTAGAGAGGTACATCATTCTTGGAAGGGTAGAGGGACAGCACAGGAGAGGAAGTCCCTAGATGAGACGGACTGACACAGTGGTAATAGGTACAGGTGTGTTGGAGACAGTGAGGTTGGCTCAGTGTAGGACAGAGTTCAGTGCACAGTGTCGCTATGAGTCAACAAGAGACTTGACGACACATAACATAGAGAACTAAGTTAACATCACACTGAAGAAACATAAATGCTTTCCCCCTAAAAGTGAGAATAAGGTTAGAATGTCTACTCTCATTATCCTATTTATTCAACCTTTTCTTTAATATTTGAGCAAGTACAACAAGTCAAGAAAAAGAAATAAAAAGATTTAGAGGCTGAAAAAGATGGAAAGCTATCCCTGAGCAGCAATAACATGACAGAGTACGCAAAAATCCTATGGAGACTACAGGAAAGCTATTAGAATCAGTTAGTGAGCTTACCAAGAACTCAAGATTCAATACCAAAAAAGTCAGAATGTCTGAAAACTTCAAAACACTGTTGAGAGAAAAGAAAGGAGACTCTAAGGAAGAGCTATACCTGGTTATTGAGAACCGTCAAATTGAGTCTGACTCATAGACTATGAACAATAGATCTGAACCCTGTCCAACCTGTGGCATCCTCATCATCTCTGACAACACTTGAGCCCATTACAGCAATCCATCTTGCCGAGGCACTTCCCTCTCTTTTGCTGATCCTCTTGGATGTCAATTCTTCCCAAATGAATATAGCAAATCCATGAATTCTCAATTAAAATCTCAGGATGTTTTCATGTAAAAATTGATAAGCAAATTCCAAAATATATACTTAATGTAAAGAGCCTAGACATGGCAATAAAATTTCGAAAACCAGAAGGAAGTGGGTAGGATATAGACTATCTCATTTCAAGCTTTTAGAACAAAGCTATCAACTCAAACATATTACCTTCATGTCAAAATCGATTCATAGTTGACCCTCTAGCAGGTTTTCCGAGGGCATAAATTCATGGGAGGAGACCGCACATCTTTCTCCCACAGAGCTACTGGTGGATTACAACCACCAGAGAGGCTTGGTCTTTGGGTTAAGCACAACTCTCTATGGATTACATCACCAGAACTCCCTGAAAAATGAAATGTCTGGGGATCATGTTGTTTAAAACATACATTTTAATTAAATAGGAAAAAAACCAACCCTCCCTTACAAAGAATGTTGGCACAAGAATACAGATACAAATCAATGGACCAAAAGGATACAAAATCCAAATACAGGCTTATTCATTTCCAACTCAACTGCCAAAATAGGTTAAATGGGGAAAGAACAGTATTTTCTACTTGTGGTTCTAGAAAACTGGACAGCCACATAAAAAAAAAAAACACCAAAAGAAAACAAAAAAACAAAAACAAAAACACCCAGAGCCTAACTTCACACCATAAACAAAAAGTAACTCAATGTGAATCTTAGCCCTTGCAATGAGCCAGAAATAGGAAATCCCAACAAGCAAAAAGACAGGTAAAAGTCTTTGGGTTTGTTTTGTTTTTTTTCCTTTTTTTTTTTAGGTAAAAGTCTTTGTGACCTCAGGCTAGTCAATGATTTCTTAGACAAGAAATGGAAAGGGGAAAAAAAAAAAAGACGAGCCACTGAGGGACAGAGATTAATTACATAATTATGCCATAATTTATAATTTTCTTTTCCATTTGATCTTCAAAAGGAAATGAGGGGGAAAAGATTAACTTAAAATCTTCAAGAACGACTTCAATTTCCTAACTTACCAGTCACCTGTTATTTAATTAAGAGCTGGACAATGATTAAGGATGACAGGAGAAGAATCGATGCACTTGAGCTGTGGTGCTGAAGAAGAGTGCTGACTGTCCCACAGACTGTCAAAAGAACAGATAGGTCTCAGAGGAAGTGCAACCAAAATCTTCTTTGGAGATAAAGATGGTGAAGCTTCGTCTCACATATTTTGGACATGTTGTTAACAGAGGCTGTTCCTTAGAAAGGGACAGTATGCTAGGAAAGGTTGGGTCTGGGAAGGAAGGACTGATACAGTCAGCATGCAAGGCAGTGGACCCAAAGATGTGGAGATTGGTAAGGATGGTGCAGGATACAACAGAGTTCAGATTTATCGTTCATAGGGTCACCATGACTCGTGCTCTACTCAACAATAACAGCAACATTTTATTAATCTACAACTCCTACATTAACCTACATCCTACATTCTGATTACATTCTCTTCCTGCCCTTTGCTTCAGAATCACTATCCTTAAAGAGAGGTACCACTAATGCATATGGTACACAAGTAACAAAGTGAAGAAGAAAACACAGGGCAAAGATATTCATGGCCTAAAACCACCCCTTGAGAAAGATGAGATCCGAAGTAGAGAGAAAATCAGAAAGAAGGAACAAAATAAAGATGCTCCTCACAGAGGCCTTTAAAGCAGTAATAATTTATGATCTAAGGAGAACTTCATCTTCAGTCTCTTATCCTTACATTCTCTATAGCTGTCCATTAATGTAGCCATTGGTCACATGAGACTGCTGACATTTAAATTAAAATATGAATAAAATTAAATTAAAATTTCCATTTCAATCCAGTGTGAAAAACAATGCATACAAACTTCTTAAGTAAATCAGTATTAAATAAAAATTTTATTTAAAATAATCCATTTCAGTCATATTTGCCATCTGCCAAGGGCTCAGAAGCCCTGGGCTCATGGTTATCATACTGAACAGTGCGGAAAACAAACACATCATGAGCGAAAAGTTTATCAGGCAGTGTTGCTCTATAATCTTCTATTTTAAAACAAACTAAGGCATCTTAAAAAATCCGACGAAATGCAACAAGGAAGCATATGTGACACTGAGGAAGTACTTTGGTACCATAAAATACTCAGAGCAGAGTGATAAAGCTGGAGGACTATGGGCTTTGAATCAAAAAGAACCAAGTTCAAACTCCAATCTAGCCACTTACATGTGTGTGACCATGGGTAAGTTATTTCATTTCCCAGAACTACAAATGAAGAAACAGATATAAAAAGAGTATAACAGCATTTTGGAAAATGAATTAAAAGCATACAATAAATAAATAAATGATTGCTCTCTCATTGCCAGAGTTGCCATCAACTCACTGCTGACACTAATGGGTTTTCAGAGGCTGTAAATCACATGAGAGGAAACTGTCTATCTGGTGGATCTGACTGGTACCTTTAAGTTAGTAGTGGAATTCCCTGTGGACTATGCCTGGCACACAGTGCAGTACTAGTTCCTCAGTTTAAGCACAAATACGGATTCTTTAGTATGTTTGGTTACATGATCTCAGCAACTGGCAATTAGTTTTATTTTACAACTCATAATTAAGATAAATCTAACAATCCCCAATCCCTTGAATTTTTAAAGACATAAAGACATATTAGAACATAAGCAATAAATTATTTTTTACAATAAAATGACCCATATTTACAGTTTTAATTGCAAAAATGTTAATCCTTACCTTTGAGGAAATGATCCTGTTGTCTATAAACTTCTGAGGTGTGTAAAGGCCATTTTGAGGAAACCTGTTGGCTATGTAAATAGTCCTTGTGTCACTTTGATGAGGTGGGTCAAATCCCTAAGAACAAGCAAAAGAGAAACATCAGTCACCAAGGTTAAGTGTTGCAACACTTTATTGTTGGTTTTATCTAATAGGTCAGACAGCATATATTATTATTGGTCTTGAACTTTACATACATTCAACCCACTTAGTTAAACCACATTTTTTTTCTGCACAGATAACCTGGAATAATATTTGTAGACATAAGCTAAACAAGTAGAGTCTAATACTTCTAGTAATGAAGAATAGTTCAGTCTCTTTCAGAAATGCCGTAGATGAAAATCATATAGGAGAACTCCAGACACACTGAAGGACAAGCCTTCTCTCCCACTGCATTCTTTCCCTTTCATTCCTTTGAGTGATGCTCCTCTTCAGACACATTCCAACCCAGTGATGTAGAGGTCTTGTGTAGCTATGGCCTAGTCAGCACATCTGATGACTAAGATTTACCATTTTTTACTTCTCTCACACCCAGATCAACGTAGTTTCAAAGACTTTGGTTCCTAGAAGACTTAAAATGCTTTGGTCAAGGACTTGTTGAGATTCATTCCACATCATCATTTATCTGTACCAGGCAGTCTGTCAACTGACCCCATGAGAAACAAGAGGAATAAGCTACATCTCTGGCTCTGAGGTGCTCTCATTCTGATACCAAGCTTAAAAGAGCATCTTTCAGGGTGCTTTTAGTAACAATTTCTAGTAGAAGAGTGTCGTTCTCTTTTCTGGGTTGGCAAGAAAATCTTCGAAACTCCTTTGGTAGAGTGAGTTCTGTCTCAAACATTTTCACTACATTTTCTTTAACAGAGTTATGGCAGTGTAGCTCAGGTTGTGTTGCAAACCCAAAGGGTGCATGCCTGCAGTTCTTCAAGTCCCATATTTACAACCTCAGAGATCTAATGAAAGGTCACTATGAGTTGGAAGCTACCTAAAGGCAGTCAATGAATGAGTGAGAAAGGTAAATTTACTGGCACAACTAGGGAGCTCTGGAAGCTGAGTGGTTAAAAGTTGTGATAGGCAATCTGTTCTTGAGTGATTAACTGACTGAAAAACCACTGGAATGTCAGCTCCAACTCGATGGTACAGAACAACAACAACAACTAAGAGAGTAAGAACTCACATAAACTTGCAAGTTTATTACTAAGAAGTTTAAGTGATTTATTATCTCACTTGGTATTCATAAACTGACAGGAGCTTTGTTGGGATGGTGATAAAAGTTGGTGCTTTAAATTCACCAGTCTCTTTGTGAGAGAAAGATAAGATAGTCAGCTTTTATAAAGATTTACAGCCTTGAAACTCTATGGGGCAGTTAGTTATACTCTGGCCTAAAGGGTCACTATGAGTTGGTATCAACTTGATGACAGTGAATCTTTTACCCACAAACTCTATGATCCAATTCTAAGTTTTACTAAGATATGTCTCTAGTAATCTACTAGTAAGTGCTAGTCTGGTTGCAATTCAATGCTTTGCATTCCTGTTAAGTGTCCAGTAAGCAGACAGTCAAAATGTCTATAGTTACCAAGAATTTCACTTAATACAACAGAATTTTTTGCTACTGGCCTACCTTTTTTTAAATCATGATTTTAGTGAATTGTTATAAAGCATATTAGCTTTATTCAGTATTCAACCATTCATACATAGATTGTTTTATGGCATAATTACAACACTATACTTCTTACACTTGATCCTTTCATTTCCATTAAGGCTTCTATTCTACTTCCTGACTTCAGAGCTTTAGCCTTAGCCAAAAGCTGCTCTTTAGGTCCTGCATGGTTGCTTGCTGTATGAAGAGAGTGATTCTTTGGTGTTATTGGTCATCTTATAGGCTTGTCTATTGTTGAGCTACTGGAGGAGTATTTTTCCCAGGTTCAAAGGAAGACTAAGGGCCATGGTCTTAGAGGTTCCCCCAGCCTCTATGTGACCAGCAAGCTTGGCCACTTTAAATGTTTTTTAGTTTTATTCCATGTTTCTACTAATTCTACCCAGGATTTTCTGCTGTGATCCTTTTTAGAGCAATCATAGATTGCTGGAGGCTGGGTACTACCTAGCTTTTCTGGTCTCAGGGAGTAAGATAAGTTTCACATAGACTATTCTTTGAACTAATTATTTCAGTACATCTTTGCCTTTCTTTCCTCTTCTGTGTTCTGCATAGTGAGAGACCAATAGTTACACCTGACACGGTTGCTCAGCAGATTTCAAGTCATGAGAATGTTAACAATATTGAGTTAAGATTCATATGGTTTTTAACAGAATTATTGTTGCTTTTAAATGTTTATTTAATGGGTGTAGAAATAGCTAGTATAGATGTATGCATTTACTAAATGCCTTTTTACTTTGTCAAGACACATTTATTAATTTTATTTGTTGATGTTATTTAGAATTTTTAACTTAAAAAAAATCCTACTTTTACCAACACTTTGGAATAGTGAGTGATGATCCTATTTCATAGTTGTGAATGTGTCATTATTTCTACAAAGTACTTTTCAAAGAAAATCTATGGTGGCAAGCATTCATTTTACTCACTAAGTGCTCTTTAAAATACTTCACAATTTGCTTTTTGATAAATCATGGGGGTTATGGGGAGTAGAACTCAAAACCAGAGTTAGAAATCATTGCTTTAACTAGCATGTCACAATTATCTTCAAAAGAAATACTGAAATACTATTTACTCATCGATAAATATTTATTGAACTTAAGCATAATGCTAAATGATAAAGGATTATGTGATTTATTATATACTCAAGAAATCACAGCATGCTTCAATTCAAAGAATAAATGCACAAAGAAAATCATTTCATGCTACTGCTTTTGCTACAGAAAGATTTCTCCAACAGCATTCAAAGAAAGGTGTCTACACAAACTCATGAGAAAGTATTAGTGAGAATCACAAGTAACTAAAGCTGTAGACTACATGAGGCATACTTATTAATCATGCCCTCTGTGAACAATGTTAACATAATCCCTACACTCTAGTTCTTGACTTAATATGTTTTCTATCCACCTTATGTTCAGCATGACTCCTATCCTACATACTTGCTTAACTCAGTAAAATAATTCAGAACCTATCTGAGCATACCTGAAAATGGTAAAACAAGCACGCTCTTACATTCACACTAACTAACATTAAAGTTATTTGTCATGCCTGTAAAGGTCTGGGATAACTTTAAAATAAAACAACTAAACAAAAACTCCAAATGAACATTTGAGGGTCTACAACTACTTGGTCAACTGACTGGATGAGATCCATATTTATTCCCATTCAAAAAAAGGGAGACCCAACAGAGTATGGAAATTATCAAACAGTATCACTAATATCACACACTTGCAAAATCCTGCTGAAGATTATCAGATTATCCATAAATGACTGGAACCATACATTGACAGAGAACTACCAGAAATATAAGGTAGGTTTAGAAGAGGTCATGGGGCACTAGAGACATTATTGCCAGTGTCAGAAGGATCTTGGCAGAAAACAAGAATACCAGAGGAATGTCTATCTGTGTTTCATTGACTATGCAAAGGCATTTGGCTGTGTGGATCACAACAAATTGTGGCTAACCTTGAGGAAAATGGGAATACCAGAACACTTGATTATCCTTATGCAAAACCTATACTTGGACCAGGAAGCAGTCCTCAGAACAGAGCAGGGAAACACTGCAGGGTTCAAAATCAGGAAAGGAATGTGTCAGGGATATAGCCTGTCTCCAGACCGGGAAGCAGGGCTTTATGAGGAGAAATGTGGCATCAGGATTGGAGGAAGATTCATCAACAACGTACGTTATGCAGATGACACAACTGTGCTTGATGAAACTAAAGACCTGAAGAGCTTGCTGCAGAAGGTCAAAGATGGTAGTCTTCAATATGATTGAAGCTTAACATCAAGAAGACAAAGATTCTCATCACTAGGCCAAGTGGCAGCATCATGGTAGATGGAGAAGAAACTGAGGTTGTTAACAATTACAGCTTGCTCAGCTCCACAATCAACACTCTTAATATCAGCAGTCAGTAAATCAAAAGAACTAAATTGGGGAAAACTACTGTCAGGGACCTCTCCAGAGTGCTGAAAAGCAACAATGTCAGTCTAGGAACTAAGGTGCATCTAATCCAGGCCATGGTTTTTGCAATTAACTTCTTATGCTTCAGAGAGTTGGACAATGACTAAGGATGACAGCAGAAGAATTGATGCCTTTGCATTGTGGTGCTGGGGAAGAGTCTGGAACATATCAGAGGCTGCCAAGAAAACACAAAGGTCTGTCTTGGAGAAAGTGAAACCAAGTTTTTCTCCTTGGAAGCTAGGATTTTGATGCTCCAGCTCATATATTTTGGCACTTGGCCAGGAGGGACTGGTCCTTGGAGAAGGACATCATGCTTGAAAGGGTGGAGGGACAATACAAGAGAGGAAGACCCTGGATGAGACGGGTTGATACAGTAACTGGGGCAATGGGAGGTGGCATGTTGGGATAGTGAAACTGGCTCAGGAAAGGGCCAGGTTCAGAGCTGCTATACACCGGGTCTCTATGGGTTGCAGGTAACTCAACGGCGCATAACAACAACAAGAAAAGTCTCCCAGAATATGCCAAGATAATTGAGGCTAAGAACCACTAATTTAGAACTTTATTTTCTCCTAAATATCTCAAACTCATTGTCACTGAGTTGGAACCAACTCATATCTGACTCTTTATTGGGTTTTCTAAGGCAGTGGGTCACACAGGAGGAGAATGTCCATTTTTCATAGAACCACTGACAGATCTGAACCACCAGATAGGTGTTAGCTTTGAGTGTGTAGTGCAACTTTCTACAGACTACACCCCAGTTCAAGGTCAGAACTGGTGGTGCTGGAGAAGAGAACTGAATATATTCTATTGACTGCCAAAAGAACAAAGAGATGTCTCAGAGAAGGTGCAGTCACAGTGCTCACTAGAGACAAACATGATAAAGCTTCGTATAACATGCCCCGGACTTGTTGCTAGGAGAGGCTACTTCTTGGAGAGGGATGTCAAGCTTGGAAACATGGAG